GCTGGGTAAGCAGTAGAGGTCGATACTCGACGCGTCCCACATGGTCTGTGTCGCTGTCGGCACGCTGTCGACAGGACGTCGAGCGACACCGGTGGCAGTGCCACCCAGGAGTGGTCGGGCGTCTCCCGTCATGAGAGAGCCACCATGTGATCCGTATGATGGTTCCTGACAACCGCCTCAGTCAACTTTCGTCACAGTTCCCGCTCTGAGAGGAGCTGCGGGTCAGTTCGACAGCTGGAGCTGTGTCGCCGGCGTGCGGCGGCCTGCCTCCGGAGGTGCCTCTGAGGTGGACATTTTTTGGTCACCGGGAGAGAACGCGTTCGAATTTTCACTCCGGAACTTCAACTCCGCACGCGCACCGGCCAGGGCTACAATAGTGCCAGTGAGGCGGAGGCGCGAGTCGGAAGGCCGCGACCGTCAAGTGTCCTCTCTCGAGGTTCTCGAGGTGGATATCCTTTGGCCGCGTTGGGTAGCGAGGATTGGTGTAACCCGAGCCACGGAGGCGTGTTTTCTGATGGCCGACCGTCAGTGCACGGAGTTGCCCCTTCTCCGACTGCCCCGGCTAGTTCACGGGTTTCGCGGGTGTGACCCCATGCGTCAAACCCGAGACCTAGCGCGGGTGGGTTGGAGGGGCCTCGGAAAGGCGCGCAAGCACGCCCTACGTCTTCCCCTCCTCCCCATCGGGCCGCATGAGCGGCCACGCCTCGCAGATTCGTTTCCGCGCCTGGGTCAGGCGCGCGGGGCATCCCCCGGGTCGCTCGACCAGCGATCCGAAGAGTGGCCGCTATGCGAAGGAAAGAGTGGGGCCCTCGACGCCTCAGTCCGGCCCTCCGAGGGGGGAAGGGAATTGCGGGGTCCCCTCGGGCGCCTCAGTTCGGCCCTCCCAAGTGTCCCTTCGTTTTCCTACAATCGCTGTGAACCCAGCCACGTAGCTCTGATTGTGTTAGTTATGCCCGTGGGTGTTTGCTTTTTTGTACAGATCGGTCGATCTGTGCAACAGAGCGGAGATGTCTTTCGAGCCCGATCTCTGCTCGACCCGGATCCGATCCGCCGGATGAAAGAAAAGGACTCCAGCGACGAGAAGAATTTTACAACTCTCTCTCTCTCTCACAGCAGACAGGCTCGACACAAGTGCGGACTGGCGTGTGCTAGCACTAACACAGTATCGTCGACCCACAGAGACTGCTCTTCTGTAGGTGGAGCCGACAAACGCCGGCCGGGTCGGCCCCGCCGCCCCCATCGCCGCCGCCGGGGCGGCGGCGGCCTCGGCGGACCATCCGGCGCGCCGCGAGCCCGACGGGGAGGTGTTCACCACCCCTGGCTCCTCACCCCGCCACGCCTTCGTGCAGACGCCGTGGCACCCACCTCAGACGCCGCTCGGACTCGGTTGACGGCCACCCAAGTGCTTGGCTCGTGCCCAGCCGACCGGCAGGCGAGATTCCCACTCACTGCTAGGCTAATCTCGGGCTGTCCTGCGGCGGTGTGGTGCCGTGAGGGGCGCCGCCCCCAAACCTACGATCGTTAGTACCGCGCGGGGGCAGTGCATTAATTCTGTCAAAAATCCAAATCTGCTCCGTGGGATGTATTGGGCTAGGATCATGCGTCCAGGAGGCCCCCCATGCGTGCCGTAACGATCGACAGCGACTGGCTACTCTGTTCACGTTCACCCCTCCTAAACCGCATAACCTCGATACATGAGGTACGAACACAGTCGAGCACGACCATGGACACAGTCGACCGGTGATGCGCGGGCGGAGTGGGGGCGAGGGGCGAGCGTCGGCGATGCGATTCCATCATGTGTGCACATGTGTGCGTTGACGCGCGCGCGCACCGACGCAGAGCACGACCCGGCCACGAGGGTCGCCAAAGCAAAACAGCGTAAACGCATCGAGGAGAAAGCCCGACGCCGAGATCGCTCCCTGGGTGGCCTCGGCGCAGCGTGCTGCCGCGCTTGCTCGGCGGGCAGTCGATTGTTGTGTTGTGGCGGGCACTGCTATTGAAAAGGATTAGCTTCCGGGAGGCCCCCCATGCGTGCCGTAACGATCGACAGCGATCTGGCTACTCTTAAGGGCGTAGAGCCCTTACTACTGTTCACGTTCACACCCTTCTTTTTATTCACACCCTTCTTGCGTCCCGCCGTTGCAACTGCCATGTCACGGCCGGTCGGCTGCAGCTCTCGCCTCGCTGGCGGCGCGGTCTGGTGCCGCGGCGCCCAGCTCTCCTGTGGGCTCGCGGCGGCTCGCCGCCGCGGTGCCAAACAATGTAATCGGTCCAGATTCGTCCCGGCGTGCCGCCGGTGCCGCTTCCTCGCCAATTTTTGGCTCGACCAGTTTGTCGACAAAACTGTGCCAGAGCCCCTGCTGCTCGACTGAGCGGCGGAGCCGGCCCGTCGCGGCCGAGGTGTGATGCGCCAGCACCGGGGCAACAAAGCGGGACCATTTCCGGGCCGTCTCGAGCAACCTCAAATTTTGATGATTTCATGACCGCCACTTTGCTGCACACTTTGACCTCAACCCGCGGCCGGCTGCGCGGCTCTCCGAGCGCGAGAGGAGTCGTCTACGAGGCGGCGGCGAGCGCAGGCGGCGGCGGCGCGGCGGCGCGGCGGCGGATCGCGGCGCAGACAACGGCAGCAATCTGCGGCAGGCTGCTGCCTACTGCTACAGCAGCTGCTGCTGCTGCTGCTGCTCCGCCGCTGCCGATTGTGGACACGATTCCCCCGATCACCCCGCCCGCCCGCTCCGCCCCGCCCGCCCGCCTCTCCCCGCTTGCCCGCCCGCCCGCCCGCCCGCCCGCCCGCCCGCCCGACCACCCATTCCCATCACCATCTCACATACCTTCATATAGGCGCTCGAGACCTCCTCTCGCTGCCTACTCGCTGCCTCGAGGGAGGAGGGGAAGAGGTCAGGCAGCATTCAATTGCGCTTGGCGCGAGGCCCCTCCCCGAAAGGCAAGTTTTAGACCCATGAAACCGAGACCCCTCCCCCCCCGCCCCGATCCCCCCACCCCCTTGCTCCCCTCCCCCCCTCGGGAGGGCCGAACTGAGGCGCCCGAGGGGACCCCGCAATTCCCTTCCCCCCTCGGAGGGCCGGACTGAGGCGTCGAGGGCCCCACTCTTTCCTTCGCATAGCGGCCACTCTTCGGATCGCTGGTCGAGCGACCCGGGGGATGCCCCGCGCGCCTGACCCAGGCGCGAAAACGAATCTGCGAGGCGTGGCCGCTCATGCGGCCCGATGGGGAGGAGGGGAAGACGTAGGGCGTGCTTGCGCGCCTTTCCGAGGCCCCTCCAACCCACCCGCGCTAGGTCTCGGGTTTGACGCATGGGGTCACTCCCGCGAAACTCGGGAACTAGCCGGGGCAGTCGGAGAAGGGGCAACTCCGTGCACTGACGGTCGGCCGTCAGAAAACACGCCTCCGTGGCTCGGGTTACACCAATCCTCGCTACCCAACGCGGCCAAAGGATATCCACCTCGAGAACCTCGAGAACACCCTTCTTAAATAAAGGAGAAAATACCCTTCGGCGCACACCTCCTAAACAGCAGGGCGGTCGCGACCTCGGCTCGCTCCTCTCCGGCCCGACGTGCGGGAGCACGTCGCTCGCGGCCCGGCTCGACGCGCGGCTCGAGACCGGCGACCAGGACACGCTGCTGACCTGTGGGCCGCGCGCCACGGGCAGGCCGAGGCGGCGCGGCTGCTGCTCGAAGCTGGCGCGAGCGTCGGGGTGACTGGCAGCAAGCAAGCTAATCCACTGACGTTGCCTGTCATGCTGTGCAGCATTGCTCCGGCGAGCAGCAGCAGTAGGGCTCGCGCTGAGCCGCCGTGGCCACTCGTCGACAGCTGCGGCGGGGCGCCCGTGCCGAACGCGCCAGCCCTGGTCGATGGAGCAACCGAGCTTCTCACCTGCCGCGTCAAGGGCTTCTATCCCTTCCCAGAGAGCGAGGGCGGCGGCGGGCTCGCTCGCTGGCTATTCCGGGACACGCACCAGGCGGTCGCGGTCCGCTCGAGGAGACGCTCTCCCGTCGCGTGCGAGAGCTCTTCGCTGCTCATGGACTTTATGACCCGCGGCGGGGCGGCGCACCCGGTGTGGTGGAGCGAGCCCGTGCAGTGGCACGTCCTCCTCGGCGGCGGCATCGACGGCGAGGTGCGCCTGTGCGAGTCACGAGAGAACAGGCAGATGGAGAGGAGACAGGCAGGCACTGATGAGATGCACCTCGCCTGACACACACCACACTCCGGTCGCGAGGTGCGGCTACGTGCGAGCGGCTCCGCCGTCCCCGCTGGCTCCAAGCTGGCCGCCGTGCGCGACTTCGCGGCGGCGTACGACGAGCGCCCCCTCTCGCTCTACAGCGGCAACTGCCGCGTCTTTTGCGCGCGGGTGCGACGCGAGGTGTCTCTGCCGACGCGCGGGAGGTTCACGCACAGCCTCACACACCCCGGAGGCACAGGCCCGGCTGCTAGGTCGCGAGGCTCAACAACGCTGACCTCTCGCGGCCCGCGCGGCAAGCGGCGGAGGCCGCGGCAGACGCGCGGCTCGCCCTGTCCCTGCTGCACGCTGGCGCGCTCCCCGCGCTATACCCGGCAGTCGCGCTCGCCCTTTGCTGGGAGGGCCTTTTGGGGGGCGGTGGCTCGTGAGGGCCTAGGCCTAGCCCCGACGCCAGTGCAGCGCCGAGGGCTGAAGCGCCGCGGCCCGGCGCCTGAGCCCTTGCGCCTGAGCCGCGCAGCACGCGCAGCAGTATACGTTACGTAGAGGCCTACCCAAGCTAGCTAGACGGTGGAGAGCATTTGCTTACGTTTCATGAGAAAACAGCGAGCTGTGTGTGAGACCCACCTCGCTCTCCCTGACAAGAAATAGCGCGGCGACCGTTGCGGCTCGCGCGACTCTCACTCTCCCTCGGACAAGAGTAGCGCGGCGCGACCGTTGCGGCTCGCGCGGCTCAAATCCAGCTCTGCGTTGTGCGATCGGTGGTCGGTAGACTGGGAGCGCCGTGTCCGACCGAGCCGGATCACGCGATGCGTTTGCTGCCCCTGTATGCAACGAGAGCGTGCAAAGTGTAGCCGACCGCGACGCCGGCCAGGGCGGCCAGAGCCCTGTCTCCGTGGCGTTCCCCGAGAGCGTCCTTGGCCTTGTCGAAGCAGAACTCTCCGGTGGCCTTGACGTGCTCAGCCGCGCGAGCGACGAGGGCAACCACCTCCTGCACCTTTGTGCTGGCTTCGTGTGCCTTCTGGCTTCGTGTGGCTTCGTGTGCGACGCTGTCGCCCGGGTTATCGACATCGGTTTGCAGCGGCGTCGACGGCACGTCCACAGCGGCGGCCGAGTCCTCGATCAGCTTGAGGAGGTCCTTGGAGGACATCGTGTCACGTGTCAGCACAAGGGACTTTGTAAGCACGAGCAGGTGTTGCTGTGTCAACGACACAACAACTGAATCAGCAGGGGATTCCCCCGCCCAAGCCGTGAATGAGCGAGCGTATAAGGCCAGCTTTACTCTTCCTTCAGAAAATCAGCGTCGCCCGAGAATTCGCCGCGAAACCCGGTGACACTGAGCCGCGCCCGCTCGGGCGGCTTTGAGGCCGAGCGAGTCGATGCCGGTCGAGTTGATGTAGAGCATAGCCTTGCCGGGGAGCGGGGTAGCGGGCAATTTGCTCGTTCGTGGCCAAAATCTCGAGCTCGAGGGAGGTCTCGTCGGTGAAGGCCAGGTGTGATGAGCCCGTCGCTCGATATTTTATGTCGGTCCGGTTCTGGATGCTCTCTCGCGGGACTTGGTACGCAACGACATGGGGTCGGCGTTCCAGGTCGTCGCTTCCGACGTCGACGAGCGGTTAATCAGTGAATCAATCGCTTGAGAAGGAGTGGTTATCAATCAGGTCGTCGCTTCCGACGTCGACGAGCGGTTGCAGCAGTACCGCAAGGCGTTGGACCAGGTCAGCGCTTCATGAGTCCAGTGCCCGCCAGTCAGGACTCCCTTTTGCTCGTTCAGGCGATGGAGGAGATCAGCGCGGGCAATTAGTTAATTAACTAGTTAATAGCCGTAATTAATTGATAGGCGATGGAGGAGATCAGCGCGGGCGGCGCGAGGCGGAGGCGCTGGGCAACGCAACCAAGGCGCTGCAGTCGACGATTGCTCAGCTGCCGGAGCTGCAGGAGAAGAAGCGCTTGCTCGGCATGCTGCACACCATCATCTAGTTGAGTCATGAATGCGCCTATTAACTAATCAGGAGAAGAAGCGCTTGCTCGACATGCACACCATCATCTAGTTGAGTCAGGAATGCGCCTATTGAGCACTTGAGCACTGGATAGGGTCGATTCCGCATGGTACGGGACCCCTCGATCGTCTCGCCCTCCCTCACTGGTGTGGTCATTGGGGGGGGTCATAACAAACACGGTACAGGATCGAGGTGCACGCTGCCGAAGCAGTGTCGTCCCCCCTCTCCCCGACGGCGATGGCGGTGTGACCGATCGAGCTACAATGGCTGCAAAGGGGATTTTCGCGTTTTGTTTTTTATTCAGGGTTTTGCAACTGATTCCGTTTGCAACAAACGGAATCAAGAAAAGAAGGATCCCGAAAGCGGGCGGCGTCTCGTGCTCGACCGCAGGCGTGCAAGACCAGGATCGCCGTCCCGGCGCGAGATGCAGCCGGGCTTGCCGTCGTCCAGCCCTTTTTGCTTCGGCTCGTCGTCAGCGACGCGCCAGTCCTACGAGCCTATTTCTTGTAATGACTAACATCCAAGCACAGACAGTCGAGAAGGGAGAGAGACAGCAACGACAGTCAGAAGCCAGCGCTGGGTACCAGGAAGGCGAATGCGATGACGGCCTCTAGTGTGAGCTCTAGCTAGTGAGCTCATACGCACGCCGGCAGATCGCGACTATATACAGCTAGTTGTTAGGAGCCGACCGACCCTCGCGTCCGGTGCTCATCGGCCGGGCGGGTGGCCGCCCAGCCGTCGGTGAGCACCGGACGCGAGGGTCGCTGGGTCGGTCGGTCGGCTCCTAACTAACTCGCTGCATATAGTAGCGATGAGCTCACTAGCTAGAGCTCACACTAGAGGCCGTCATCGCATTCGCCCTGGGACCCAGCGCTGACGTCTGACTGTCGTTGCGGTCTATCCCTTTCTCGACTGTCTGAGCTTGTGCGTCTTGGGTCCGTGGTTGTGTTTTTGTGTGAGTGACGGCAGTGACGATCAGAGTGCGGACGCGCAGCAGCAGATTGGGAGTTGTTTGTGTTTGCAGATTGGGCGGGTCCTTTTCGAGCATTGCGAGTTGGTTCAACAAGGTAGCCGCACGCCACGCTCAGCGGCCGCGACTCGCGCGGCCGCCGGCCGTCGACGCGGAGGCCCTCGCCGAGCGCTCGAAGGATGAAGGACGACTCGCACTCGGCGGTCGACATCGGCCGAGGCATGGCCGCGAGGGGTGGCCTGCGTAAATAGAGGGAGGGAGAGAGAGAGCGAGGGCTTGAGAGAGTGAGAGCGTTGCACAGCGGAACGGCACTCGCGCGCGGCGCGTCGATGCGCGGCGTCGAGAGGCCTTCGCGCTAAAAGAATTCGCTGGTTCCCTCACGCACACACGACACAGAGGCAGCTCACAACATCACATCCTCCCTGGCTTTTCAGTTTTGTTTCTACAAAAAATTCTTTCTTTTACACTTGGGCACGGACTGGCGCGCACTGGCACGAACGCGGCGAATATTCTTATTTTACCTAGTCCCGGACACGGGCAGGAGCCCCACGGCATTCCCCGGCATTCCCAGCAAGGCCCAGTGCAAGTGGGTGAGCAGACATGCTCCCGCGCCCCACTCCCTCCCTCCTAGACACAGCCCGCACACAATAACTCCCCGTCCGCGCCGCACAAGAAATGTTGAGTCTCAGCGGCCGTGGCCTCGCAGGAGCAGCTCTCTATGAGCGCTCCTGGGCCGAATCCGCCGCCATCCTGGCTGCAACCGCCCTGGCCATCGACGCGGCCGCAGCGGCACCCCTCGCCTCCGCAGCGGCCGCCGCCTCCTCGAGCGCTGTCTCGCTTCCCTCCAGCGCCGACCCGGTCCCGCTCAGTGCCGCCGCCGCCGCCTCTAGCGACGCCTTGATCTTCTCAAACGCAGCCTTGGCCTCTCCATGCGCCGCACTGGCCTCCGCATGCGCCGCCCTGGCCTCCGCCCTCGCCACCTCGGCAGCCGCCAGCGCCGCCACGGCCGCCACCTCCTCCGCCTTGTCCGCCTCCGCCTCCTCCTCCGCCTCGTCCGCCTCAGCGTCCAAGCGCACCGCCTCGGCCACCGCTGCCGACGCCGCCGCCTGGCTCTCTGCCGTGATGCCGAACCGCATCCTCTCCTCGTGACACTTCTCGAGAAGCCTCATCATCCTCTCCTCCTCGGCCTTCTTCGCAGCCTCGGCTGCCTCCGACGGCGCCTCGGCACCCTCCTCCGTCTCCTGCGACGGCCCAGCCCCGCCCGCCCCTCCGCCCTTCTTCTTCTTCTTGCCCTTCTTGCCCTTGGCGCGCTTCTTCTCAGCCTCGACCTCCGCCAGCAGCTCCTCGGCGTGCCGCGCCGCCTCCTTCTCTTCCGCCGCCCTCTCCGCCGCCCTCTCCGCCGCGCCCGCAGCCCACGCCGCCTCTTTCGCCGCCTTCTCGGCCGCCGCATCGGCCGCCGCGTGCTCCTCGAGGGCGCGCACGCACTCGGCGTGGCCCCTCGCTTTGGCCCATTGCAGCGCGGTACTGCCCTCCGCAGTGCACAGCGTCGCATCTGCGCCCGCCCGCAGCAGCTGACGCACGACGGTGGGGTGGCCGAACAAGGCGGCAACTATCAACGCGGCATCGCCGTTGTTGGCCTGCAGGTTGATCTCTGCGCCGGCCGGATCAGCGTGTCGACCACCCGCTCGTGGCCGTCATCGGCGGCCTCCATCAGCGCTGTGCTGCCACTTTCGCTTCCCTGATCGACCTCCGCGCCGTGCCGCAATGCCAGCTCGACCAGCTTCTCGCGGCCGTTCGAGGCGGCGAGAATCAGCGCGGTGTCGCCACCGCTCTTCTGCAACGAGACATCTGCACCGCGCCGCAGAAGCGCATCGGCCAGCCCCGCGTGGCCATGGGACATTGCGACCATCAGCAGCGTCATGCCGCTCACACGGGAGCCGCAAGCAAAGGTGTGCTCGAACCTCGCATCGACCCGCCCGCCGCCGTCGAGCCACGCCAGCACCGGCGACTCGTCTCCTCGCGCAGCCGCTAGCACGACCTCCTCTGGCACCACCGCCCCGCCGCTCGGGTCGGCCTCCACGCCGCCCTCGCCGCTCGAGGCAGAGGCCGCGGCACTGGCGCCCGCCGCCGCCTCGCCTGCGGGTGCGCCGCCCGCCCCTGCGCCGCCCGCCTCGGCCGACGGCGCCCTGCTCCGAGCTGCCGCTACCTCCCCGAGATACGTCCTGAAGGCCTCGTAGCACTCGGTGTGGCCCTGCTCCTTGGCCATCTGCAGCGCCGTCCTGCCGCCTCTAGAGCGCAGCGTCATGTCAGCGCCCGCCCGCAGCACGCGAAGCACCACGGCGGGATGGTTGTGGAGGGCGGCGAGCATCAGTGCGGTGCCGCCGTTGCTGGCCTGCAGGTTGATCTCTGCGCCGTGCCGGATCAGCGTGTCGACAATCCGCTCGTGGCCTCTGTAGGCGGCGTCCATCAGCGCAGTGTCTCCGTCGCTGTACTTCTGATTGACCTCCGCGCCGTGCCGCAACGCCAGCTCGACCAGGTTCTCGTGGCCGTTCGTGGCAGCGAGAATCAGCGCAGTGCTGCCGTCGTTGTTCTGCAACGAGACGTCTGCGCCGCGCCGCAGAAGCGCCTCGGCCAGCTCCGCGTGGCCATTGGACATTGCGATCATCAGCAGCGTCATTTCGCTCTCACGAGAGCCGTCATCAAAGGTGTACTCGAACGTCGCGTCGACCCACCCACCGCCGTCGAACCACGACAGCACCGCTCCCGCTTGGCCATCCTTGGCGGCCTTCCGAATGCTTGCGGGGACGTCGCCGCCGCGCTCCGTCGACGGAGGAGGCGGCGCGCGGCGCGCGGCGCTGGCGCGGGCGGGCGTGGACATTGTCACCGTGTACCGGAGAGCTCTACCCGTCCAGCCCAGCTGAGATGGGTCCCCACAGAGGCCTAGAGCTAAACATTGTTTCGAGGTTAATTCTTTTCCCGGTCTCGTCCCGCGACGGCCAGAACTCGCCGTGAGCCGCGCAACAGCGCCACAGGTTTCGAGCCTTTCGCGGCCGCGACATGATCGCTCCCACTCCGCCGCTCCAGCCTGCCGACGCAGACGATGAGGGGCCGCTGCCGCTCTCAGCCTCCCGTCCGATGCTCGCTCCGCTGGCGCGCCGGAGGCGAGGCGCGAGTGGTGAGGCCGATAGGAAGCAGTCAAGGTCGACTGCGAGCGTTGATTTCTATCTACCGCGACCCGATGGAAGCGAGGACCGACGAAGCAGCAGGTTTACGACAGCCAGGAGTTACAGTATAGTCGCAAGGAAAGGCGGTAAAACAGGCCAGTTCATATCGGTCGGAGTGGCTGCACGCCTGCACCGCCAGAGCGGGATGCGCGTCTACAAGCGATTGATCTCGTCCCTCCGGGTCTGCACTGCGACCCAGACTCGTTCAACTTGTGGACGGCGTGGCCGTGCGAGCTGTTTGGCGGGGGAGGACCCCGTGAACAGCTCGTCGACCTTCTCGCGTCTGTTCTGAAGCAAGCACGTCTCGCAAACCACAAAAGAGCAACTACGACTTCGTGATTTCGAGACTTCAAAGTATTCGAAAGTATTCGTTAAAGCAAACGCGAACTTTTTGTTGGTCACAAACGAATTTTACAACAAAAGGCGGTCGCACACCAAGTGCACACAAACGACAACAAAAAGGGCTCCAGGCGATGATCTTCGTCAACACCCGTCGGAAGGTGGAGTGGCTGACAGAGAAGATGCACGCGCGCAACTTCACCTGCTCGGCCATCCACGCAGACCTCGACCAGAAGGAGCGTGAGGTGATCATGCGCGAGTTACGCTCTGGCAGCAGTCGCGTGCTCATTACGACCGACGTGCTTGCGCGTGGCTTCGACGCGCAGCAATTGTCGCTGGTCATCAACTATGACCTTCCCACCAACCGGGAGAACTACATCCACCGTATTGGCCGTTGTGGCCGCTTTGGTCGCAAGAGTGTCGCGATCAACTTCCTCACATCCGAGGACGTGCAGATGCTGCGAGAGATCGAGCAGTTCTACAATACGCAGATCGAGGAGATGCCCATGAATGTGGCGGATCTGATCTAGAGCACGTCGAGCGGAAAGCAACAAAGCAGCGGCGGCTGTCGTCGCAGCCTCCCTCAATCGGCCTGCAGGCCCCGTTGGGCTCTCAGGAGGGTAATAGTTTGCTGAATGGCCGCCGCGCCGCGCCCCGCTTGCCGCCTCGAATAAGCTTAGCAGTGTCTATCATGCACCATGTTGAAGAAACGAAGAGCCGGTGTATTTAACCCTTTTCCCACGCCGGTCATATGTGTATGACCGGGGCGCGCGCAAGCGCCCCATCCGCCAGGATGGCCGCCTGGAGCTGCGCCCCGGCGGTTGTGATGAGGCCTGGACCTGTACTTGAGGTCCCAAGCCAGTAGAAGTCCCGCCCTTGCCCTCGCGGGTCACGCCACACCCTCCAACACGGCCGCTTTTGATATTTAAAGCGCCTCTGTGACCCGTACGGGGGTGGGGATACGCCGGATCTCGTAGGTCTTTGCACACTGCTTCGATCGGGATAGGGTTGCGGGCAAGAGAGCCCTAGCCCTGGGGGGTGCGCGGTCGCAGGGCCATAACACGGGTCTCCGAGGGTTAGTTCTGCGCTCCGGGTTTCCCCCTAGCTGCGATCATCGACGTATTTTCCCCAAGGATATCACCTCGAGAACTTCGAGGTATTTTCTTCTCACGGCGGCGAACGGCGCTGTTTTGCGAGAGAGGTGACCCCGAGCCTGGAACCAGCTGCTGCGCATGTCGAGGAAGGAGGACCCGGGCGACGACAACAATTCCTCCGGCTACCGGGAGTGCCTCGACCCCCTCGACAAGATCACCGGCTACCGGGAGCGCTTCCCGTGGCTGAAGTCGCGCAACAAGCTGAGCGGCAATCCACTGATGGTGGAGGTGTTAGACGAGCTCGCTTACATCGAGACCCAGCTGCATGCAGACGTTGAGCTGGCGGAGGCACGCGCGGCCGCGGCGCGGCGGAGTGTCTGTCCCGCGAAGGAACGACAAGCGCCTGTGACGGACCGTGGAGTAGGCTGCGCCCGCCGAGCCGCGGCGCCGGAAGGGCTGGCGCCAGCCGCGGCTCAGCCCCCATCCCCCCCCCCCTGGGACCCCTCCCCCCGACCCCTTCCCCGACCTCCTCGCGCTGTATAGGCGGCAGCTGCAGGAGGGTGGCCCGTCTGCAAAGGCCCACCCGCCGGGCCGGTGGCGGCGGAGGCTTGTCCTGGGCGTCGGTGCCGCGCTGCTGGCGTCCCTCTATGTGGCCAGCGCTGGCGTCCCTCTGGTGGCCGGGCTTGGCGGCGGGAGCCGCCAGAGTTCGGCGGGAGGGGACGAGTCGCCGCCGCCATTCGACCTCTACGCGTACCTCTTCATCGACCCTCCCGCGCCGCCGCCGCAGCCGCCGCCCGCGCCGCCGCCCGCGCCGCCGTCCCCGCCGCCCCCGCCATCGCCGCCGCCCCCACCGTCGCCGCCCCCGCCCGCGCCGCCCCCGCCCCCGCTTCCGCCGCCGCCGCCTCCGCCGCCGCCGCCCTGGCCACCGTCGCCCTCACCGACGCTGCAGCCGCTGAGTGAACCTTTGGCAACCGTGTGCAAGATGCCCGACTACGTCAAGGCTGGCCCGATTTCGAGGATGGCGCCCTACTGCGGATGCGAGGGGGGCGCCGACTTCGGCAGCGTGCACATGCTGATCATCAACGTCTCTCGCGCCCGTTGCGCCGCGCTCGCCGAGCTGAGCCTTGCGCTGTCTGGCTTTGAGTACCGGCACAGCAGGCGGGCGTGCCGCCTCATGCTTGAGCGTGTCGTGGGCTTCTCGACCCTGCCCGGTGCGCCCTTCTCGGACGACGTCGAGTGCCTCGCCAAGCGCGGGTGGCAGGAGTCGCAAACGGGCGCGCCTTTCCCGCACGACGTCGTCAAGGCCGCGTCTCCCTTCGTCGCCTTCCACCCCCCCACTCGCACGTCGCCCTCCGGCTTGGCGTTGGACGGGTGGGGCGCCTGCCGGATGGCGGACGGTCGCGCCAACCCCGATGTCAAGAGCTGCGCCACCGACCAATTCGACTGCCAGACCCAATGCGCCGAGAGGGCAGACTGCCTGTCGTACGAGTTCTCCGACGACGCGCGCGACCGCCGCTGCCCGCCACCTAAGGCGCCCTACGAGTGCGAGCTGCACACGGCCCCGACCGCATTTGTGCTGAAGCGCAAGCAGGCGTACCCCGGCAGCGAGGCGAACCGGTGCTTTGTCAAGGCGCGGGCGCCGCCCTCGCCGCCGGCGCCTCCGACACCTTAGGTCTGTCTGTATCCATGTTTCCTCGCGCACCCGCACCCCGCGGTTCGTTCCTGTTACCAAATGTTTTTGGTGGACTAAGAGCCTCGCCCCCCTGAAACATCCCATCGGGGGTACCACCAAATGTTACCAAATGTTTTTCTTACTAATTTGGTGGGCGTACATTGGTCTGCCCCTCCTCCAAGCTAACGAAATGCAACCAAATATCGCATCGGGGCATCGGGGCATCGCCATCGGGGCACTGACAGACCCACTGAGGCATCGGGGCATGGCACCGCCAAGTCGTGGGGTCCACGTCCAGACTCACACTGGATCTACATGAACATGTTCTGCAGGAAGGAACGGAACTCCTGCTCCAAGGACCAAAACGAAAGACAGCTTCTCTCACAGCCGAGCGTCGCGACAGGGCACAGGCACAAACAAGTGGTAGCTCTCAGACTGCACTCCATGCCTACATTTAGTTAAAGCTCGTGGGTGGTTATTCTTGCCCCACTTTTCGGGGTTTGCCTTGTCTGCCCAGGGAATGGTACTCAGTACTTGCCTCCGTCGATCCGGTTGACACCGCGCATACTGGGGTAAAGAGAGCTCTGCTCTGATTCGGCGAGCGCTAAATCATCGTTGTGTACTGGCTGCCCCATTGGCGCTTGAGATGCTCCATCGTCGAGTCTGCGTCGGAGGCGCTTCACCTCTAGACTTTGCATGCTTAGCTGCGCGAGGTCATCGTCCTCCAGTTCGCGTAGGTCCGACATCCCCCGCACACCAAGCCGGGCCAAGCCAGCGCTAAAGGCCTCGAGATTGGCGTCCACGAGCAGCTTCTGTACATCTGGTAGGACCTGTTGCTTTGGCGCTGCAGCCGTCATCCCAGCTGCCCCCCTTGCTCCTTCCGGTGTGAATTGTTTGTAAGGATGCAAGTCACACAACATCAGGACCCATCGACGGGGTCTCCAATGTATCCTGGCAACCTCCCACACCCTGAACCCAAACAGGAAGAGAAACGGAATCAGGATGAGCAGAAGGATGAGACCAACGATGAAATTTGAGTTCGCGGCTTGGATTGCATTCGTGAAAGGACGTGGATTCCCGGGCGCATTCGCTTGTTCCTCGTAAAATGATGTCCATTCCCAGGACCAAAGGGTTTCTGCTACCACATAGGCTGTCACATACAAAAAGACGATGGACCATATTACCGCGCTTTGCAGAGTGAACGTCTGTTCTCCCGCGATTGCGGGCCATGGGAATAGGAGGATCTGCATAAAGCTCTCGAAATCGATGTTTCGCGGGTCTTCTAGAATTGCAGAGGAAGCTATCACAATGATAGCGCCGACGAGCCAGTTCCATCGACAGCTCCAGAAGGGATACTTAAATTCCGGCATGGGTGGCGGTGGCGGTAGCATCTTGCAGCAAACGTCGAAGCAGGCTGATCCGTCGTCCTCTGCGATCTCTGTCGTCCAATCATAGGAGTGTGCGAAGGGATAATCTTCCGTGGGACAGGGGTACTTCGTCGTCCATGCGCAGCCGGTTTTACACACTGGCAGCAGTGGTGGCGCTAGTGGTGGCGGCGGCGGCTTCTTGCAGCACAAGTCAAAACAGGCTGAACCGTCGTCCTTTGCGAGCTCTTGGCCCCAAGCGCCCTCGAGGGCGCTTGGGCTGCCGGGACACGGGTACTTTGTCGTCCACCCACAGTCGCAGGAGGGTGGCGGCGGTGGCGCGCCGCCCGAGCGAGGCTGCACGGAGACAACATTCGAGTCCTCGACCGGCATGACCTCGCCTGCGTTGCCGTCGGAGAAGTTGCCACCCGGCCTGGGAAAGGCGGACTCGGCCAAACAGCCAGACACAATCACGAAAGCGCCCATGACGACTTGGATCGGCTGCGGCCCGGCTTCGGACGGACACGTTTATTGTTGTCGAAGAAAAAAATTCTTGCATTTTTGCTCCTGGCTAAGGGAGCAAGCAAGCCCACCCACACTTATATAGTCACCATTCTTACAGTGGTGTAGCTTGTGCAGAGGCTGCAGCCTCTGCTGGGGCGGAATGCGCGGGGTTTTCGGCGCGATGCCCTCGGTGAGTACACGCTACCGCGGTGCCGCAAGCTTCCTGCGCGCGCGTGACGTGTGGGACGCGTGCGCTGCGCTCAAACGTCGCGATTTGGCAATAGGCGCTCGAGCCGGCGCACAGCGGATAGGTGCGCTGCGCAGGGGGGGTCGGAGGGGTGCGAGAGGGGGCGTGGGTCGGGCGCGCACCCCCCCCGGCCCTGGGAACGGCCGTCACGTCGAGGTGGGGGGTTGTCGGCGGCTCGAGCACCGAGGCGTGCCGCTGCTGTGCCGTCGACAGCCCCTCTTCCGAGCCGGCGCGCGGCGGCGAGCCGCGGCCAGTGTCGCTGATGCGGGGGCGGCGCAGCGTTTATTCCCCCCTTCCCCCCCCAACTCGGGCCCGGCCGCCCGCCCGCCCGCCCTCAGGCCTTGCCCCTCCGCAGGCGCGGGAGCGCTCGCGGCGAGCACCTCCTACCTCTCATCGCCCGGATGCTCCCTGTCCCCGTCACCCGCCGCGCCCTCGCCCGGCCGCCTCACCGCGCACGGAGCGCTCGGCTGCTCGCCGCCGCCGCCGCGCGTCCCGCGCCGCCACGCTTGCCCCCTCTCCTGACGCGCACCCCGCGCAGACGGCGCTCCGGGACAGACGGAGCAGCGACCGCGCGCGCGGTCGCTGCTCCGCCCCTCCGTCGCGCGCGCCGCGCGCGCGCTGCGCCGCTGCCGCCGCGCCCCCTTCGCCATCTGGTTCCCGCCGTACTCGAGTATGGTGTGCGGTGCGCGCACACACAGCGCACACAGCAGCCTCCCCACCCCCCTACCAACCCCGTCGCGCCGCCGCCGCCGCCCCCGCCGCCGCCGCCGCCCCCGCTGTAGCGTTTGGGGGGGCGACTGGCGACGGCAAAAATGCAAGCCCCGCCCCTGGCCACTGTACTGGTGATTTTACAATGATGGTGGTGAAAACTGGAGGGTGAGCCACGCCGAACGTACCGGGGCATCGGGGCGTCGGGGCATCGGGGCCCCGGCGTACAGTGGCGCGCCTCCACCAAATGCGACTGAAGACACCAAATGCTACCACATGTACCAGGTGGCGTGTTGTATGAGCCATCATCAATCATGTGAATGCTCATGTGAGGCATTATCAATCATATGAGCATTCATATGAGTGGTGGCGGAAGTGGCACCCGCCGAGTTCCCGCCCACCGAGTCCCCCGACGAAGCCACCTCCGAGTCCGCCACCTCCGGAACCCCCATCGAAGCCACCTCCGAGTCCACCAACGAGGCCCACAACCACTGAGGCCACCTCCGGGTCCCCCAACGAGGCCACCGCTGTGGCCAAGTGGCACCAGATGCTACCAAATGTTCTGTCTGGACAATTTGGCTGGCGTACAGTGGCGCGCCTCCACCAAATGCGACCAAATGCAACCAGATGCGACCAAAGACACCAAATGCTACCAGATGCTTCTTCTGGACAATTCGGCTGGCGTAACAGTGGCGCGCCTCCACCAAATGCTACCACGACCCAGTCGATGGCGCGTCGGGGCCAGCGCCTTCAAATGCGCCCCAACCCTCCACTGCTGCCGCCTCATCCTGCGCTGCCACCGGTGCGCGCCGGCTTGAGGCTCTCCGGGCACACGAGGACACAAGGCGGAAACGTCTGCCCATTGTCCACGCAGGTGTGCGGCGCTCGTCGAGAGTGACGGCAGGGCGTTGGGCTCGGCGGCGATGTTGGAGGGTGCGCGTGCGGGTGAGGCGTCCGCGGGTGAGGCGTCCGGCCGCTAGTGTGCGCACCCTCGAGCCGTCACGACCCCGACCGTCAGCTTCTCTGCGTGAATATGTATGGCTAGCGTGCTTCCACTGCGCGCTCGCGCCTGCGGCGCCGCCGCGGCTCCCCACCCTTTTGCGCAGCAACACCTTAAACTTTTCAGGCCCTCCAAATTCGGGTCGGAGCGTAGCGGAGTGGGCCCCGAGTTTGAAAAGGGCGACGGACGCTTGCCCTAGCCTCCAACAACGCCTCCCCGGCGCAGAGGGGCCCCCGGAGGGATGCACAACCGACTCACGCCACGCCGCTTGCGGCGGTCCTCTTCCCAGCTCCGCTGAGCGCCGAGCGTTATTTACCGGCTAATAACACCGCGGGATTCGCGCCCCCGCGTATGCTCTATGCTCTCTCTCGCCCAGAGCTGTCATACTATGCTTGTGCTCTCTCTCGCCGGCGCGCGCCGCGCCTCCTCTCGAGTGCCCAAGCTCTCGATGCTCACATCGGCAGAGGCGATGCCCGCCCGCCTGCGCCTCAAACCCGCACACAGGCTTCACACTCCCACACGTCTGCGCAGGCGAGTGTCGTCGCCGATGCCGCTGCCGCCAGGCTGTCGGAGCCGCTCGTCATGCCGCCGCGGCTGTCGCCGACCGCGGCCGCGACCTTCCGCGACTGCCCGCAGCTGTACCTCTTCCGTAACCTGTGGAGGCTGCCCGAGCCGCCGAGCAAGGTGCGTGCAGTGTGTGCTCGGGAGCCACGCAGCCGGGACTCACGCAGTGGAGCTCGGAACGACCTCTGAGGTTGCACCTCGGCTGCACCTCGCGATTGCGCTGCCGGCCAGGTGCTGGAGAAGGGGAGCCTCGTCCACGCGGCGCTGGAGAAGGTTTTCGAGGCGCCGCCCGAGGAGCGCGCGGGCCGGCTGCACGACGTACTGCGCGATGAGTGGCGCAAGAAGCGGCGCGCAGCCCCCTGCGCACTCTCCCGTCCCACATGACGCGAGATCTGGGAGATTTGGCGAGATCTGGGGAGATATGGCGAGATATGGCGAGATATGGCGAGCTCGCGGGAGGAGCTGCCGCGCCTGCCGCATGGCGAGCTCCTCTCTCCGCCTCTCTCTCTCCCGTCCCACTCTCCGTCCCTCCGCATGCTCTGGACCTGCCCGGTCTGTCCCTCTGCATGCTCTGGACCTGCCCGGGACTCTGTGACCACTGCTGCCCTCCGCGTTGGCCCTGTCATCGGCCAAACAGTCCAACGCACGGTCGCTGCGAGTGCCCTGTGGACTCGTGAGCAACGGGGTTCGGAGCACTCTCGCCGCCCGCTCGGAGCCTCCTCCGACTGTTCTCTCGCAGGCGCGAGGCTCCCAAGAGCGGCACCGCACCGTCGCTGGTGGAGGCGCTGTTCGCGTCGGTGGAGGAGGAGCGAGCGTGGGGCCTCGAGTGCTTACTCCTGGTTGAGGACGAGAAGGAGCACGTCTTGAGCACCCATACGTAGGAGCGGGAGTGGGGCCTCGAGTGCCTCCGCTTGCTCGACAACTGGCTGGCGGCGGAGGACCCGGCGGCGATGCCGCATGGCGCGAGATACGGGGAGATCTGGCGAGATCTGGCGAGATCTGGCGAGATCTGGCGAGATATGGCGAGATATGGCGAGCTCCTCTCTCCGCCTCTCCCTCCCTCCCTCCTTCCTCCCCTCCCTCGCTCCTCCTCGGAACTCTCTCGGAACTCTCTCGGAACGCTCTCGGAACTCTCTCGGAACTCTCTCGGAACTCTCTCGGAACTCTCTCGGAACTCTCTCGGAACGCCCCCAAAGGCGAGCCGCTCGCGCACGAGGCGTGGATGAGGGCGCAGCTGCCGACGGAGCCAGCCTCCGGCTTGCCTGCCCTCGAGATCTTGGGAGATCTGGCGAGGATCTGGCGAGATCTGGCGAGATCTGGCGAGATCTGGCGAGATAGGCTTGCCTGCCCTCGAGCTGGTTGGAAAGGTGGACCGCTTGGACGGCTTGCCGGGCGGCGGCGTCGCCATCGTCGACTACAAGACGGGCAAGGCCCCGCGCGCGTACTCGGCGGCGACGGACGCGCAGATCCGGAGGAAGAGCTTCTTCCAGCTGCGCTGCTACGCGCTGCTGCTCGCGCGCGGCGCGCCTCCGCTAGAGATGGGGAGTTATGGCGAGATATGGCGAGATCTGGCGAGATCTGGCGAGATCTGGCGAGATCTGGCGAGATCTGGGGAGATATGGCGGGCCTCCGCTAGACGCGGAGTACAGACGAAGACACGTCGCACACTCGAGACGACACGCGTCCAGCTGTCTCCGCTGTCTCCGCTGTCTCCGGAGCCCTGCATTCACGATTCACGCGGCGTTCGGACCACACCGCACCAGACCGTACTCCCGGACGTTCGTCTGCTGGATGTCGACACCCGCTATCCCTGAACCCGAACCCTGGCCCCCTAACCCTGACCCTGACCCTGACCCTGACACTGACCCTGACCCTGACCCTGACCCTGACCCCCTAACCCTGACCCCCTAACCCTGACCCTGACCCTGACCCTGACCCTGACCCTGACCATACCGCAGGCGGCCTCCGCGCCTCGCCCCACTGGGAGGGCCTCGAGCTGCGCGCGCGCCGGCTGAGGTGGGCATAATCTTGAGGAGAGACGTACAGAGGCGAACACACAATCAGCGTTCTTTTGAACGATATCGGTGTCGATTCACCGCCACAGCGCTCAACAGCTACAGCCAGGCCACAACGACCGGACACCCCCCGACGCCGCTCCGTGGCGCCACCACCCTCGCCACCGCCTCCGCGGCCGTCTACACGTCCTGAGCCTGCTTTCCCAGGCTGCTCTACCTCGGCGGGGGCTCGGCGGGCGTCGACGTCGTGGAGGAGCTGCCGCCGCCGGACAGCGGCGAGTACGAGGCGGAGCTGGCCCAGACGGAGGCCGAGCTGGTGGCACTGTGGGGCGAGATTGCGAGCCTGGTGCGGCGCGGCGACCCGCGTGCGTTTGAGCCGTGCAGCCGCAAATTCTGCAGCTGCCACGAGCTGCGGCCGATCGTCTTTTCTCCTCCTTGACGTCAGTGGAGGTGGACAGTGCTGTATACATAGTACGGCTCATGTTAGTAAGGTAAGGTAAGGTAAATTTCTCCACATACATACACAAAGAGTGGTGGGGGGCGACCCTCGCATCTCCACGCCCGGACACGGCTCACGGGCCCAGGCTAGTTCCATTTCACTGTGGCACAGCTCGCGTTACAAAACCTTGATTTGACCATTTGCGCAAAAAGGTACATCTCGGTGCCTTCCAGAGGAAGCTGCGACCCCGCCGAGTAGACGGTTGCACACAGCGGGTGGCGCTGTGTGACGCCGTCCACTCAGCGGGGTCGCAGCTGCCTCTGGGCGGCCTGGGGATGTACCTTTGTGGGGCGCTGGACATGTCTGGTTTTGTCTCGCGTGCTGTGTCAGGTGTAATGGATCTCGCGTTGGGGTGTTCGGGGGTGTGTGGCGGGCCCGCCGGGTTCAGAGCTCGACTTCGCCCTATCGCGAGTGGTATTACTCCTGCTACCCGTCTCGGGTCAGGTGTCACGACGCTCATCGCGCCTGCCTTTGCTGCCGTGCAGGTTGCCCCTACTAGGTCGAGCACTCTTCTATACGCTCGCCGAGCCTTCCTTTCCATCCCATTTGGCAGCCTGGGAACGGTGGCGGTCAGAGGCAAAGCATACGAGGGGTGGTGGAACCACATGTCACGGCTACTGCCGGCTCGACCCCACGATAGCCTCCGGAGGCTGACTTTGAGGCACAATCATCGGACGACGTCGGCGAGTTGAGTCGCGCTCGCGGTAGCCAGATGACCTCTCATACTAGTATCATCGGCCATGGCCGCAGGAAGCGCGGGGGAGGGCGCTGGGAGCAACACGGAGCTCCGTTGGACGTTTTCAAGATTAGCGTGTCAGAGTGAAATGGAACTAGCCCCAGGACCAGGAGCCCCCCGCTCGCACGCCGCACGGCATTCAAGGAGCACTGGCCATGTTGCTTTGATGGCGGCACTAGTTAATGTTTAAAACGAAATGTCGCGTTAGCTGGAGTCAATCGTACATACAGTGCAACGAGCCCACACCCAGAGCCGGAATACTTGTCAGCCACTGTCTGTCAGAGATCCTCGTCGGGTCGTGCTCGTTCGTCCCCCCCAACCGCTCATCAAGCGGAGTGGGCGGGTGGGGGAAGCTGGATGCCGCCCGCCGACGTCGGGGCCGGCCTGTGCTTCCACACGCGAGTTGCACCGCTCCCGGTGCGCTTCCTCGTGTGCCCTGGTGGGGGGCTGCCATCGGGCGGCACATCTGGCGGGAGCGCGCCTCCTCCGTCAAACAGGCTGAGTGGGAGGCTGGCGCGGCGGACCCCCACAGGCAGCGCGAGCGCGATGTCGAGCGCGCAGTACTGGCCAGCCGCGTCAGCCATGTCGGGCACCTTGAGCTCCCACTGGTTTTGGACGAAGCTGAGCTGGAAGAAGACGTCGCGGTCGACCTTGTACTCCGCGATGTTGCTCGCAGCGTAGCCCGGGCCGACGTCACCGAGGTGTAAGGTGCGCCGCTGGCCCGTCTGCTCGCCCGACGCCTCCTTGTCCAGGATGCCCGCGAGGCAGAGAGGGCCACCGCCCCGCGCCGCGATCACAACCTTCAGGAGCCGCTTGTCGGTGTGGCCGATGGTGATGTGCCTGTCGCTCAGAAGGAAGACGCCGTAGTCGTAGCGCTCGCCCAAGGCGTTGTCGGGCGTGATGGCGAGCACGGGCACGTACTTGGCCTTGGCGCCGAACTCGGACTCGGCGTACGCCTCCGGGTAGGGCGTGCCGTTGTGCGACCAGTCCTGCGTGTGGAAGAAGATGACCTCGAAGCTTCCGGAAGATGAGCTCGAGCCTGCGGAGATCGCGCTGAGCACGCCGTCGTACTTCTCGGAGCGTGGCCCTGGCGCCTGCGGCTCGAGCTTGGGGATCGGCGACATGCTGCGCATCGCGGCGAGTGTCTCCCACCGCGTCGCATGGTAGAGGAATCTGGCGCGGCTGAGGGGCCGCAAGCCCGGTCCAGAATAAGGCTCTGAGCGTGGCTTCGGCACAAGGTACGCGGCGGGAGGCGGAGGCGGCAGAGCAAGGGGCTCCTGGAACCCATTGTGGAGCAACTCTAGCTGCGCCTCGGCGCGCTGGCGCCTCTGGCGCTCCTCGTCGCACGCCATCCGCAGCTCCTCGTGGTCGCACGAAAGCCGGAGCTGCGCATCGCAGAATCCGGCCAAACGACGCGTCATGGGATCGTCTGAGCCCTGAAGTCCGAACTCGTCGAGGTCAGCGAGTAGCGCCACCTCGCTCGGCGCGCCGGAGACCTCGCTCGCGGCATCGTCCGACGGTCGATATTGCCAGCCCGGCTGCGATCGAAGGCGCACGCGCTGCGCTTCCGGCAGCTCAGAAGAGATGTCCTCGAAGGACAACCTGAGGCGAGATAGCACGCGCTGCGCGTTCGGCCGGACGCGCTCGTCCTGCAGGGCCTTTGTAAGGAGCTCCAACGCCCGAACCTTGTCCGTCGCCAGCCCGCCGCGGCCCACCTCGTACATGACGCCGAGGCGGAACTGCGCCCGCGCCTTTCCCTGCTCCGCCGCCTGCCGCCACAGCTCCACGGCCCTCGCCTCGTCCTTTGCCAGCCCGCCGCGGCCCGCCTCGTACATGACGCCGAGGCGGAACTGCGCCCGCGCCTCTCCCTGCTCCGCCGCCTGCCGCCACAACTCCGCAGCCCTCACCTCGTCCTTTGCCAGCCCGCCGCGGCCCGCCTCGTACATGACGCCGAGGCGGAACTGCGCCTGCGCGTCTCCCTGCTCCGCCGCCTGCCGCCACAGCTCCACGGCCTTCGCCTCGTCCTTTGCCAGCCCGCCGCGGCCCGCCTCGTACATGAAGCCGAGGTGGAACTGCGCGTCCGCGTCTCCCTGCTCCGCCGCCTGCCGCCACAGCTCCACGGCCCTCGCCTCGTCCTTCGCCAGCCCGCCGCGGCCCACGGCGTACATGAGGCCGAGGCGGCCTTGCGCCCGCGCGTCTCCCTGCTCCGCCGCCTGCCGGCATAGCTCCACGGCCCTCGCCTCTGGCTTGGCCGGCCGGCGGCGCGGGACCGGCGCCTCGTCGTCCGACTCGCCCATTTCAAAGTCGCCGTAAGGCGCGGGTTGCTGCCTTCGGCTGGACATGAAGCCGTCGCGCCGCGTGAGTTCGCAAGCTTCGGCGTCTGTTCACATAAACGCACAACCCCGGTCTGTGTGTGTGTGTTGTGTGTGTGTGTGTGTACCCGGTCTGTGTGTGCCCCGGACCCAAGACGCACAAGCACAGACAGTCGTCCGTTCACTGTTCTCCCGGCGGCTGTTCTTCCATTTCACAGGAGAAGAAAACATGGCATGGCGCTGTTGAGGTGCGAGAGATTTTTAGCAATTAGGTGCCCGGTAGGCTTGGCTGCAAAGGGGATTTTCGCGTTTTGTTTTTTATTCAGGGTTTTGCAACTGATTCCGTTTGCAACAAACGGAATCAAGAAAGAAAACATCCAAAAGCAGGCGGCGTCTCATGCTCGACCAGGATCGCCGTCCCGGTGCGAGAATGCAGCCGGGCTTGCCGTCGTCCAGCTCTTTTTGCTTCGGCTCGTCGTCAGCGACGCGCCAGTCCTGGCGCAGCCGCCCCGCCGTGCGGTCCACGGCCTTGCAGCCCGTCGACGCGCCCGACGACGTGACCGCGGCCGAGATGGAGGCCTTCATGGACCACATCCAGCCGAGCTTGTACCAGCCGCCCGACGACAGCGACATCGCCCATGAGTTCACGGCGTGGCTGGCGGCGCGCCGCGAGACGTTGCGGACCGCCGCCGGTGCAGGCCGCCCTCGCGACTCGCAGGCCGACGTCGCCGCACCCGACGCCGCCGGCGGCGAGGAGTCGCCCGACAACGAGACGGGGCGCGCGACTCCGCCCGCACCTGCGCCGGCGGCGGCGTCCGGCCGCCGGCGCCGGCGCAAGCCGCTCGCCGGCGGCGGCGGCGAGAAGGAGAACGCGGACGTCGAGATGGACGCGCTCATGGTCGAGCGGCCCCGGCCTGCGCAGACGGAGCAGCGCTGGCGCGCCGTCCTTGCCGCGCGCCACGAGGATTACGACCGGGAGCTCGAGAAGGACAACCCGGAGCGGCCGTGGCACAGGGTGCCACACTTCCAGGGCGACATCAAGGCGGAGTGCGAGCTGTGGGCGAGGGTGGTGCGCGCGCTCGGCGAGGCATACGCGCGTCACCACTGGGTCATCGACCGCGTCGAGTTTGACCCCGACCCCAAGAACCGCTCGCGAGCCGAAGCCACGCGACGCAGGCGTCACAAGAGGCTGCGGGAGGCGGCGAAGCGGGCGGAGGAAAAGGCCGCGGCTGCCGCCGCCGCCACCGCGACGCCGTCGCCCGCCGCCGCCGCGGCGGCGGCGGCGGAGGCCTCGGAGGGCGCGGCGGCGGAGGAGGAGCTGAATGCGGTGCGGCGAGCGCAGGCAGGAAAGACCGCTGCACGGCTGTTCGACGACCTGGAGGACGGCGAGGAGGAGGGGGAGGGGGAGGCGGCTCGCGAGGCGTCGGAGCGCACGCTATCCATCGCCACTGATGCCTTGCTGGGCGTTCTCGACGCGGCCGACGGAGGCACCGTCGAGACGAAGGACGCGTACCAGACGGCGGACAAGCCGCTGGGCGAGGGGGAGGCAACGGAGGCGGTCGAGAAGGACAACATCACCATCGCCTTCAACAGGAGCATCGTCCGCGAGGTGCGGCGGCTCCTGCAGACGTACGGCGGCGATCACAGGCCGCCGAGCATGGGCGCTGAGATGCACTACGAACTCGCTGCGATGGAGGGCCCGTACGCTGACCCGAACGCCTTCTCGTGCGACCCGGACTCGCTGTCCACGCAACAGCTCGACGCGCGTTTGCTACTGTGGTACCGGCAGTGCCTCCCCAAGCCGCCGCAATGGCGCGCCGACCCAAAGCTCAAGCAGCAGCCCTGGCGCGGCGCCGATGGGCAGGAGCTGCTGCTGCCGCAGTGCTGGCCGTCGCATTGGCTGACGCGCGCGCGGCTGCTCGGCGCGCGGCGCGGCGTCGCGCTGACGCTGCGCGAGGCGGACGCAGAGGCGCACGGCGAGGCGCCGCACGCGCCGCAGCTCGTCGCGGACGCAAAGTTCGCGTTCGAGGTGGCGCTGCGCGAGCAGCAGCCCGCAGGCGCTCTCTATGAGAGCTACCGCCGCCTAGCGGCGGCTCTCGCGCACTCGCGGCGCACTCGCGCGGGGCTCGCGCTCCGCCACCTGGCCCTTTGCCCGGCGTGCAGCGACGCCCTCTGCTTCCCGGCGCAGCACCTCCCGGCCGTGACGCGCTACACGCTGCCGCCCGTGGTGCAGCGCGCCGGCTGCAGCGATTGCGACTACTTGGCGATGCGGCGCATGCTCGCCGCCCGCACGTCGTCGTACAACGAGTGCACCGCGAAGGACGCGGCGGAGTGGCTGCGCGGGCTCGAGCAGGCTGACGCCGTCAAGCACGCGTGGGGCGTCGTCGTCGTCGACGCCATCAACCGCCCGCCCCACGCGGCGACGCGGCTCGCCATCATGGAGGGCACGTTCGACCACGACTCCTTTGCCGCGTTCCTGCGGGCGACGCCCGGCGTGGCCGTGCCCTATTGTGGGGCGCATGGGCCGCCGCGGTCCGCGGCGGACGATGCGCCGATGCCGGGCGCGCCACCGGGCGCGCCGATGCCGGGCGCGCCGATGACGGACGCGCCAATCCCGGGCGAGCCGCCGGCCCCGGCGGCGGCGGAGGATGCGCCGATGCCGGGCGGCGGGCAGGACGCGCACCGTAACGGCTGCGCGTGCCCCGGGGGCTGCCCGGGCGTCCCCTCGTTCCTCCCGTTGAATCCGTGCTGCGAGTGCGAGTAGTGAGTCTCCGTCGTCGCTTCCCACACTGCGCGGCGTGTGGGTGGGGGTCTCTGTTGATCACTGTACTGTACTCTCGCTCTCTCTCTCGCTCGCTCGCTCTCTCGCTCGCTCGCTCGCTCTCTCTCTCTCTCTCTGTGTGTGTGTGTGAGTGTGTGTGTGTGTGTGTGTGTGTGTGTGTGTGTGTGTGTGTGTGTGTGTGTGTGTGAGTGTGAGTGCGTGTCTCTCGCTGAGCTAATTCCTCTGACTCCCGCGCCCGATCCTTGGACCTTGTGGTTGCTGCGAAGTGCGCGAGGAGAGTGAGAGTCTCGTCGTCGTGTCGGGCGTAGCTGCTTTTTGGAAACATGTTTCTACTCGTTGGACCGGAGATGGGGGGGCAGGTGCACACCCCCTGCGCTGCTCAATCTCTGAGATGTTACTCCAGACACCGTACCGCCGTGTCTGTATCTCTCGTTGGTCGTTCTCCCAAACATCTCCCGCAGCTCAAAGCGATCTCCCCTAATCTCCACGGCACCCACCGCCCGCGCACACTACTCGCCGACGACTCGAGAGTCGCGCGCACGCACAACCCAGCCGTCGAGCAAGCGGTCATGACCAGAGGCGCCCGCGGAGGGACAACCGGGATCGCCCTCGCCCGAGCCAGAGCCAGCCCCTGGCCCCTGGCCGCGCGCGCGGCCTTCTCTCCGGCCCGCATCCACCGCAGCGGCGGCCGCCGCTGCGAAGACCGCGGCCGCGCGACGCCTCCACGAGCATACGATCGAGCGCCCGGAGGGGCTCGGGCTGAGTGCCGTCGCGAGACCTCGGCACGCCTGCGCACGCCTGTGCACGCGGCAGAGCGACAGCGGCACCACCCTCGTCGGGCGCCGACGAAGCGTGCTCGCGGGTCGCCGCTCCGTCGACCGACGGCCGAGACACTTGCTCCGACGCCGCCCCGCCCCCGCCCCGCCGGTCCGGCACCGATATCTCGGAGGACGACCTAAGGAAGAGCGTGGCGGCGCGTCGCCGGAGGACGGCGCGCTCGTGCTCTCGCCGCGAGATCGAGGGAGGGGGGGGGGGGGGGGGCTGCGCCGCGGAAGAGCGCCGGGGCGAGGGGTGCGTGTGCGCCGCCGGCGGAAGAGCGCGCGGGTGAGGGAGGGGGGGGGGTGCGCGCGCGCCGTCCTGCAGCGTCGCCGGCCAAAGAGCTCGGCTCCTCGAGAGAACCGACGGACGACGGACGACGATCGGCTCCTCAGCAGTGGGACGCCGAGCTGGAGGCTCGGCCGGGAGCTCGCGCGGGCACGTGGAGCTTTCCGCTCGGGCCAGCAGGAAACGGGCGCCCCGCACAGCGACGCCTGCCGTAGAGTGCCGAGAGCTCGGCTCGACGCGAGCGCCGAGGAGAAGCGATCGGCTCCGCAGCAGTGGGACACCGAGCTGGAGGCTCGGGCGGGAGCTCGCGCGAGCACATAGCGAGGTGCGTGCGCGGCGGCGTGACACAGGTGAGCGGGCAGCTGGCGCACATTTCGGCTGTGGGAGCTGCCAGGAGTTTGCTCTCTCCGTTCACACCCCTTTGCAGAATTCTTCGGCGGCTCCAAGTGCAATGGAGAAAAACACAGGGAATGACTGCACCCCGTCTTTGTAGCCTGGCGTTTGTGCGCGTCCCGTGCCCCCGAGTTCATTTTATAAATGACTGCACTCCAAGTGCTCCAAGCTGGCGGTGACGTAGATGAGGACACAAAGACAGAAGAACGCGCCCGCCGAAAGCTAAGTAAGGAGAAACAGACGGCTGCGTGCGCGCCCTTCTTCGACACAGGTACATGGGCTGCTTCTCCAGCCGCGTCGAGGCCCCGACAGAGGAGCCCGGCCCTCCCGCCGCCGAAAAAGGCTCACTGGCTCGTACTAACGGTCGTCGTGACTCTGCACCGGAAGTGGACTCACCGAGTGCTGGCAGCGATTGGTCACAAGCGATCAGGAAGGCACTGCTCGAGATGCCGGAGACGGAGGTGCAGCCGCCACCATTTGCGCAATCTCTCGCTTGCGAGGCTGATTTCGCTTCGGTCATCCACGGCAGCACGGCTCACATCCCCGATGGGCTGACTCGCAGCATGGAGGAGGAGTTCCGGAGCAACGACGAGGGTGAGTGGTGGAGCGAGTACGAATACGTCGTCTATGGCGTCGCCGTGGAGAAGGAAATGAGGGTGACTGAGTTCGCGCCAGTCCACGTGCGCGACGCGGGCCACAGCGGGAT